AGAACATGCCTAACATTTGTCAATGTCCTCACAACTCAATCAAACATCTTCACATTTACAATACCTATTTCAACAGCTTTAGTACTAAAATCATTAGTCATCAACAAAATACCGACATCACAGGGCTTATAATAATCAAACCACTCCTTACATGGACACATATGAAACGAGCATCCATAATCCAAGATCTGAGAGTCAGAAATATTTTCATCAACAATAACAGAATAAACATCATTTTCACTATCATCCTAGGCCAACAACATTTGCAGAAATATGAGGTCTCTTAGATTTCTTGTTTTCTCTTCTCTTCAAGGTGCTTCATCAGTTTTTCACAACATCTCTCTCTTGACTTACTCCTACTCCTATTGGACGGGATTGGGAATGATCATCTCTCTTATCATAACATCTCTCTCTTGACTTACTCCTACTCCTATTCGAATCTTAGTGTGCCACTAAAACTTGTTCATTATGAGACGTAACACTAGGCTTTTTCATATTTACAATCTCTAACAGAGTAGTCGACACCTCATCCTCAGTCAACATTGTCTTTACAACTAATAGTGTAGTCACTAAAGTCTCATATGATTTGGGTAGGGAGGCCAACAAAATTACCGTTTTATCATACTTATCAATTTTGACCTCTACACTTAACAATTGAGTTATGCAATTATTAAAATTATTTATATGGTCCATAACATCAATTTTCTCATCAATTTTCAACTCATACAATTGCTTCTTCAAATATTGTCTATTTGTTAAGGATTTTGACATATAAACTTTTTTTAATTTTTTTCATAACTCAGAATGAGATATTTAATTCATAACACTATATTTTAATTCAAGAGTCAAACTTTAACGAATTGTGCTTACCGCTCTCGCTTCTAATTCTTCTCAATCTTCATCTTTCATATTTCCTGGTTTTTTTCTTAGCAGCGCTTTCAGTAATCCTTGCTGAATCAGAACATCTTTCACCATACTCTAGCATATGCAGAAATTTCTCTTCCCATCAAAATGCTCAATCTACTCAAACTTTATCCGGACATCATCTTGATTTTTTTTAGATATTCATCACAGCTCTGATACTAGTTGTTGAGAAAAAAATACACCCCTACACTCATGCAATAGAAAAATAAATTGAAACAAAAATAACAGAAAAATAAAGAAGACAAATATTTATGTCGTTTGGAAAAATTTCCTACGTCCACGGAAGAAAGAGAAAAATTTATTAATAGTTTCAGAATTACACACTCAACAAACTTTCTCACTTTCTCTCTTTACCCAAAACCCCTTACACCTTGCCTATCTCTCTCCTCACTTTTCTCTCTCTCTTAAAAGGAGACACTTTATCTCTACACTTTTCTCTGAGAACACACATAAAGGCTTACACAAAACACTTATTTATAGACTCCTAATAAATCATAAAATAACCCTTGTCCGCAAATTGAAAATAATAATTTTTTAAAACTAATTTGAGTCACTTACCTAACATATTTAGAGTAATTTCAAAATATATGGGTTCTAAGAGCCCGTTTAGTTGAAGGATTCGTTATCTGATTTGAATCATGATTCATGGTTCGCTACAATATTTTTTCTCATAAAAAATACACGTAAATCGAAAATAGTTCTAATCCATGAACGAAACGGGCTCTAAGTGACTTTGTGCCACGTGGAAAAGCGATATGAAAGCAAAATGTGGTTTGTACGTTAATTTGTATTTTTCTTAAGTCAGCACAAAGTAAAATTGGATGATGCTTACTCGGGCACGAGAATTTGAACTTTGTTTATTTTGATCATTCGAGTTTAGAATTTGAGTTAAAAAATAAATTCATATAAGAAAAAATATTGTAACAGAAAAAATTAAATCTAAATTTCTATGAGAGAAAATATTATAACAAAAATTTGAATTGTGATTCGAACTAACAATGAACGAGACCTTAATCTTTGTTTTAAATCCGTTCACAAATGCTTGAAAAACTATTGATATCTTAATATCGGTGACTGTAGTCCAAAATCCATATGGAAAATCTATATAAAAAAAAAAGAAAATTGATCTTAATCCTCAGTAGAAAAAAAAAAAAGAAGAGATGACATTATAGTGGGCGAATGAGAAAGAAAACAAAGACAAAGAGTTCTCACTAATGTCAAAGTCCTAGTTTGATGTTTTGTGACAAAATGAAAAAGTGATTTTGATTTGGGAAGTACAACATATGTTACACAATAAGAGAAGCTTCGTTAGCACAATTAATCTATAAATTAAGACCACGTTTATTTCACCGATTTAAATTTAAAATTTGAGTTTTGTTACAGTAAAAATCACTCAGAAACAGTCACATCTAATTTTTTTATTGTAATAAAAAACTCTCATATAAAATTACATCTCAATTTAAATTAAAAATTTAAATCAACAAACTAAACGGTATTTAAGTAATATTATAATATTGTTAGCTGTAAGGATTATTGACTTGGTAAAAAGATCATGAAAGTTTACAGCCAGATTGGCTTGGCAAAAGTACTTGCAAAGCACAGGGAAGTTTTCGTCCATAACTTTTTGTTTCCTGTGGTCATTCTCAATTCCCCAAAAGTGATGTCTGTCTATTTCATCTATTTAAATTTTTAATTTTAATTTTATT